ACGGCGGAGTCGGAATACAACTGCATTGGAACGAACACAATGTCACAAGCGAGAAGGCCTTTCACTCTCGAGAACTTGTCGTTTCACAACATTCTCCCCACCAAAGGGCTTCTCACCGCCGTACAACAACTCACAAGTCAAAAGATTTGGGGCTTACTACGCGTCATCTTCTGCTGCGGTGGTGGCCATGGTAGAATATCACTAATGCCCACCAATTCAGAAAACTCGACATCGCGAAGCTTGCCGCTGTGGACTGTCGCACACGACACTGTCACCGATCCACTTCGACATGGGGCAGACGCTGGACCAGACAACACACAACCGATAATGTCATAAAGCTCGACGATGTGGGCTGTCACACACGACATGGTCACCGGTACACTGCTTCGACCCGGGGCGGGCGCGGAATCCGAGGACACACATCGGATCTCTGTGTTCCACACAGTCTCGCCGCTTACTTCTTCCGTGCTAACCAGTAGTATCGCCCTTCTTATTTTCTCGGCTTCTACGCCTTGCGTTTCTAAGTCTTGCGCCTCTAACTCTTCCGCCTTTAACTCTTGCGCCTTTAACTCTTGCGCCTCCAACTCTTGCACCTCCAACTCTTGTGCCTCCAACTCTTGCGCCTCCAACTCTTGCGCCTCCAACTCTTGCGCCTCCAACTCTTGCGTTCGGCCGAGACTCCAGCTGCTTCTGAGCGTGTCCGACCGATGTCGCCATGCACTGCACCGACCCAGTGGGCCTTGAATCTGATCCTCCCACTGGCTTCGAATGCTCCTCTGACCGCTGCTTGTCTGTAAGCAAAGTCTTACACGCCTTGTCCGGCGTCCTTCCGGGCGAGGCAAGCAAATCTCGCTTTGCTTCCTCATAATATGTACTGACGGCGATGCGCTCGGCCATCTTCTTGAGCTTTTCGTTAAACTCTGCGCGGAGCGCACACTCTTGCCGTCTAGCACTGCGCTCTTCAAACTCCTCGCTCTGTCGGAGCCTCTTCTCCACGTATTCTCTCAACCTATCGCCTTCAAATCCATACCGAATTCCGTTGGCGATAAAGCTGGCTTCAATGACCCATAGTTCCTGTGCCATGCTCGCTTCGTATCCTGGCGTGGTCGCCAAATGTTGTGAACCCTCTGGTTCTCTAAAGTGTCAGGAACGAACGACCCCACACGGCACGAGGACAACTATTATTCTCAACAGTATATTTCACTTCCATCGACTAATACCAATGAACAATGAATGTATGAACAACGGAATGAACTGAATGAACAACACTAAAACCACCAGGTAGTTATAGCGTGAAAATGACAGCTTATATGAGAAAAGCCTACACATACAACATACAACTACAGCGCACTCAGCAAACCGCACATAGCGCATGTAGCGTATACTACGTCGTAAACATCAACGGTACGGCGGAGTCGGAATACAACTGCATTGGAACGAACACAATGTCACAAGCGAGAAGGCCTTTCACTCTCGAGAACTTGTCGTTTCACAACACAGTCAATGCAGCACAGTTTTTTTCTTTCTTTTTTTCCTCCAGACTCCTGAATCGTATGCACGCTTGTGACGAGAAACATAGAAATAAAAACGTGTGGCCTAATAAAAAAGAAGAAAAAACAGTATTTGCGTCTTGCGCTCAAACCAGTGAAAACAGTAGCGTATTTTCTTTCATAAAAGCCCAGATCTCCAATAAAAACCCAGGGGGGGGGGGGGGTTGTTTGAAATAATAAAAGCACAGTCTCTAATAGTAGCGGAGGTCACAATTGGAGTATGCAACAAGTATATTGACGGCATATAAAACAACAGTACGTCATGCCAAGCACCTATCTGTAAGGAGGTTTTCGGTCTATTTGTACTTCTTCCTTCCTGGCGCCCATGTTATTGTGAAACATCAGGTTTGACAATATTCCTCAATTTAGTTAGGGTTGAGCAAATCAGTCTTGATATGGTTAGTTTATGGCTTATTTCATGCCTATATAGACTGGAGTTGGCTTGATAATGGAGCATTGAAAACATAAAAAGCACCGTCTCGAATAATAGCACAGTCTCTAATAGGAGCGCAGCTCAGTAAAATAATAATAACCCCGGGCTCTTATTAGAGAAAATACGTAGCGTGCAGCAGTGGCATGATGTGCCTTTGAGCATGCACTTGTGTGTCCACATACTAAGTCTTACACACCACGTAGTGCACAGGACTAGAAGAACTTGCATCCTCGGCTCTAAGAGCTTTTCCCTGGATGTGTGTGTGTGTGTGTGTGTATATGAGGGGGGGGGGGGGGGGACTTCTACGGCATTGAGCAGTGAGCAAGGAAATACAAACTTATTTCCCCAAATGCAAGTCGCACCTTTTTACACCTCAGGCTTTGACACTAATCTTCCAGAGCAAAGAGGGGCTGTGGCTTGACCTGTATAGAAGCAAGACTCGAATAGAAGCCGATTTTTTTCGAAGCGCGGCATGACACAGAAGCATGATTTGAATAGAAGCCGCTCCCTGCAAAGTACATGTACATGTACATGTTCATGTAAGCAAGCACATGCGTGGCAGTATGCACGGCACAATGTTTACTGATGATGTTGACGGAGAAGCATGTTTTGAACATAAGCATGTAACTTGAATAGAAGTATGGTTTGAACCCCGGCTTAGGGGCCATCCATAAATATAGATATTTATATAGAATAAATAGTCGTTTAGTGGAGAGGCGGTTGAGCGCCTGTTCGTTTCTCGAGAAATATCGATGCACTATTTGTATGTGTGGGCATGTCCAGAAAAAAAAGAAGAAAAGATCGATATTGATATACCGTTTGTATTGTGTTCGTTTCTCAGGGAGGTTGAGGGGGTTGAAGAGAGATGAGAAGTTTTCATTTCTAAATAAATTATTCAGATGGAGAGCCAAGGTTTAATTTATACAAAAGAGAAAGATCAAGGAACTACAAGTTACGCTATACTGTCCACTAACACCACCAGTTACTAAACAATCAGCTCATGCGATTACATTGCACGACACTGACCGTCGGTACTGACGTTCTACAACTACCGTATTTTCCGGGGTATAAGCCGCACTTTTTTTCGCTAAAAATCGGAACAAAATCACCCCTGCGGCTTATACACCGAATGTGCTTGCGCGAATGAATGCTAAGCTTACATCAGTATGCATGCTGACGTCATGTGACATGTCATTCAACTCAGCTTCGCGCCTGTGTTGCTGATCAACATCAGTGGCAGCGAGACTGAATATAGTGCAGATGACATGGAGTGATCTGTAGTCAATACAGCAATACACCAACATCTCTGCAGCAACCTGTGGTGCACTAACACTTCATAATCTGATCTAACATGGTATTTAGCTCCATGACCATAATAAATTTGTAGAAAGGCCATTTTGTCAATGAGTGTGAAAAATTTTGGTTTGTGGGTGCGGCTTATACTCCGAATACCAACTTTTAGTCAATATTTTGCCTCAAAAAGGGGGGGGGGTGCGGCTTATACCCCGGCAAATACGGTAACTGACTAACAGCTCTAGCACATCTTGGATGCGCACTCCAACAGCCTTCCAACTTGGAAGGTTCTAAGTTATAGAAATACCATAAGAAGGGGAACGTGAGCACAACCAAGACAAGCACGAGCTGAAAGTCTCAGCTGTGAAGGATGTTGGACGTTAACTTAGAACCTGGACAGTATAGAGTAACTTGTAGAATACGCTTCCACAGATTTAGATAAGATCGTTTACTAGTACACGACAACGCTGAAAAACGTTTCAAAAACGTTTCAAACGAAAAACGGCCTTCAGTGTGTTTTTCAATCGTTTTCGTTCCATTTCGGTCTCGTGTAAACGGCAAAGAGGTTTTACTACAGTAAAATCATGTACGAGCCTTGTACTCAAAACATGCCGCCGCCAGCTGTGCCAGGCCAACTTATTGCACGTGACCATTGCGCGGCGAAAAAAGCGTTGCAGAGTACACGCTTATCGTTTTCGTGTAAACAGCAAAAGCGCTTCGAAAACGATTGAAAAACGTTTTTCAATCGTTGTCGTGTAAATGAGGCCTGAGTAATACATTGACAAACATGATGTTTCCGAAGCGCATCGTTCTGAATTTTCTATCTGAAATGAGGTATATATCCGCTTAACGTAAACAGATAATCTGCATGCAGAGAGCAATCTGAACAAGGCTATGAACATTATCAACTGCGCACCCATTACTACACTGTAACAGATTTGTATGCCAAAGGATCAATTTCTAGGGTCCGGACGATTTTGGTCCGATTTTTACCAAAAAAAAGTGCGGCCTTTACCCCGGAAAATATGGTATGTACATACATGTCAGCGATGTCGGTTTAGTATTTCCAAAAACGTTTTCTTGTGATTGTCATGAGTGCGTAATTGATTCTGTTCATAGGTTTATTGAGATTGTTGTCTCCAGCCGATTATTAAATTAAAGAAATAATATTTGAAAGAAGACTAACCTCCGCCATCCTCGGAGGTCAGGAACGAGAGCCGCCAGACCGGGCACGGAACGATTCCTCCTGACGTGGAAGGCAACACTACTAGGCCCTCGGCCTGCCACCCAATTCAACAAATATTGTGAATGTTCCAACAATTTTGTCTCTCTCTCGTAGGCCGATCTACATGAGTGTACAGCATAGCCATAGGGTCTTCTTTCCCCGGTGATTTTGCCAAGCACGTTCCCTCGGCTGTGTTTTCGCTGATCAGGGTCACCAGGCCACGGTACGGTTTCGTTCTCTCCACTCTGTAGACCACTGGTAGACTTCTCCCGACTCAACTGATAAGCGGCCGCGCAAATCTTTGAACTGTTGATCTCCTAACTACCTAAGTGTACTGCGGGTTCAAAGTTCGCATCAGGTTCAAACAGGAGTACTAAAAAGCACATTTATTAGTACGTAGATCTACTCCCTGGCTCATGCCGTCTGGTTCCAGGTTCAACACAGTTCAAGTCAGTTGTGCCTGATCCCAGACGTACAGATGAAACAAATACCGGTAATTGTTGCAAAATTCATTTGTTTGTTGGTTTTGGCGACTGTTCGAGGGCTGAGTAGCACTGTAGTGTTGTGTTTAACGTCAGGAGGACGGGTTCCGCGCTTGGGCAGGGGATTTTCGATCCTGACGTCGGAGGATGGCGGCGGTGAGTCCGTTTTCAAATAGGCCAGAAAGTATGGATACAGTAAATGCACTGTCGTTGCACACACCTGGTCCTGGTAAACACTGCCATTACGGTCACGTGTCCCCTTACGGGGCCGACAATATAGAACGACGAGCGGGACCATGTAAAGGTTCGAGAGAGCCATCTCCAGCAGCTATGGATCTGCACACACACACACACACACACACACACACACACACACACACACGCACACACGCACACACACACACACACACACTTGTACTTCTTCTTGTACTTGCTCACTGCCAAAACTGGTCACGTGGGTCTCCCCAGGAGAGGGGAGAGAGACTCAAAAGGAATCTTGGAAAGATGACTCAATTGGCCATTGAACCACCAAAGGGCCGACACCCTTGAAATCCCCAAACTAGGGTTCTGCGCACACACACACACACACACACACACACACACACACACACACAAACACACACACACACACGTTATTATTATTATTTTCATTTAGGTCCTTGATACAAAACATCTAGTAGTAGGGAGGTTTAGTTTGCACGTAACGGAAACGCGCAAGTGGGTGATACACGTACAGTGGATGAAGGGCACCCACGTTGCAATGTTGTGTTTAGTCACACGGGACAAACAAAAGCATGAAGCGAAATGCCCAAACCTGGTCAAAGACGAAGCTACCCGGGCCTAAGAAGCTCATCGAATATTTTTGATTTCGTGCTTTGGAAATTTGTTCAGCTGAGCACCCTCACAGCTAGCTCGCAAAATGCGTTCCATTCTGATTTTCACCCACGTTCTGGCGGAACGTGGGTGAGCCTCCATACACGGTATGTCGTGAATCAGAAAACGTCTGTACGTGGGTCACTGAGTATCACGTGGTACACACACGTAAAGTACACACGGATTATGTGAGATTAAACCTCCCTAGTATCAGTATTCAATCTTCCGACAGCTAGGTGTTTCGAACTTCTTAGGTCTTGTCAGCGGAGCTCGCAGTGACTGACCTACTCGTAGCTTATAGGCGATTCAGACTACGGCCAAAATCACGTCTGAACTTGAGTTTCCATGGTGATGCTGTCGTGTTTCAAATTATTATGCACAATCCCTGATCAAACACGTCTGAGTCGTAGAAACGTGGTCACAGTTGGCTGTAGTCTGAATCGCCTACAATCGCAATGGAGCTCAGTTAACAACAACTGAGCCTGAAACTGTTACTGAGTAACCTGAAAACTGTGCAGTGACTGTCACTCATGCTCCCAACAAATTGATTCAAATAACAATCGGATACTGAGCCAGTAAATAGAAGTAAAATAGAAGAAATCACATGGAATCGAGCTATGAAGCAACTATCCGCGAAGTGCGATAACTCAGGCCGTGGAATGTCTCAGCAGCATATCAGTTTTGTGGCCTGTTATCGCACTTTCTGACTACTTATTATCTTGTTACAGCCGTGGATAGTTGCTTTATAACTCGTTTTCATGTGATTTTCTCTATTTAAAATAACAATCTGACGATCGGAAAAAGGACAATGGAGTTACGACAATTTGAACAGTGATGTATATGTACTGTACAGGTATGCGCTTTTACTTCACGCTGGCACCACTCTGCTGTGAAACTCCTGACGTTGCTAGTGCTTCATACAGCGAATGCCCAAACTGCTTCCAGTAAGTCTCTCTCTTTCTCTTTCTCTCTCTCTCTCTCTCTCTCTCTCTCTCTCTCTCTTTCTCTCTCTCTCTCTCTCTTACTCTCTCTCTCTCTCTCTCTTCTCTCTCTCTCTCTCTCTCTCTCTCTCTCTCTCTCTCTCTCTCTCTCTCTCTCTCTCTCTCTCCCTTCCTCTCTCTCTCTTCTATTGGCGCGTCTGGCTGTGATGAAGCCGAGACCCAAGGTCGGCAGAGCATCCAGACCACGCCACCACTCCCCTTATTCATGGCTCACACATGACGGGTTTACGTGGCTCTAGTAAAAAAAAAAGAAAAAAAGTAGAGCACTGTGTTTAACCCTTTATGTACCAGGGGCTGTCGCAGCCAAAGAAGCAACCATGGTATGAAATCTACACAACTTTCGTATATGCAAGTTGTGTTTTCCTGACTCCATATGTGAGCCAGGGCACGCTAAAATATGACCACAGACCAAAAATTCGATTTTCAGTTTTTTGTTCAAAAATGATCGAACACACCTAATGTTCACTGTCTGAAAGTTTTGGATTGGTCGGACATGTCTAAGTGTTGCTACAATGGTATTATATGAAGCACTGTTGAAATGGTGAAATTCTATGTACAGCAATGGGATTGTCATTTTTGCATACAGTTGATATGTCCCTTGGTTCATCCTTTCCTGGTCAGTTCCTCTGTCCAGGGTCTTATAGCCTGAGCTGACGGGTACTCGCCACTTCCAAAATTCCTATAGGCAGCTTAGCTGGCTGTCCGAAATACCTCCTGTTTGTTGGGAAATTCCTCCTGTTTGTTGGGAAACATGGATGCAGTGAATGGGATTTCGGTCTTTGACCACTATGTGGTGGGTCTGATCTACTCACCTCCCACCGCTTAGGAGCTGCATCTGCGCATTGATCCAAGAGGGTGGTGGCGTTCCTGCGGATGCGGAAAACTGGGCCTTTGGCCGAGTCTCACGCGAACCTTGACATTTTTTTTGGAGCACCACTGGAGAACCGCCAGCGAAAACACGGTCAACATCTGTAGATGACCGAAAAAGTTGGCACTCCACGTACTCTCCATCACACTCCACCTCTACTTTCAGATATACAGTATACACTGTTGCACACAGTCTTCCTCAACATACTCGACGTCGCACTCTTATTCTCCAAATCCAAATCCAAATCTTGACCACTTCATGTTTTCAACAAGTTAGCAGCGACTTTGTAGGTGTAGCTTCTGACTTCTGTGACACTCCCCCTGTAATGTGTTGGACTTACACCTGTCATACTGCGAACGGTCATTTCGTTGAATAACACTTTGTCAGAACAATCACAGTTCCAAGAAAGGGTTTGCTCCCTTTCCCAGGACTGTAGAAGTGGACTTTTGGCGGTATATCAGTATTTGACCGGGGTCAACTGTCTTCATGTAAACGCTCACCTCTTTTGTCTATCGTACAGACTTTCAACCCGGGCTGAACTCGACCCGGGTTGAAATTTCTCATGTAAACACAGCCTATCAATCATGAATGAGCTGCGAAATTTCATCGAAAATACCCCCCCCCCCCCGGGGTTTGTACGACTACAGCCAGGGAGTGGGACGGGACATGACATGACAGTGGTTTGTCTCTCTTTTGTCTCGTAGCAGGGTGTATCGTACATCTACATGTGTACGTGTACTATAGACCGTTTCTACCGTCACACTCCGATCTCTCTGTACTACAGCCTACAGGGATCCGTTCCGCACAAACTGGTTGTCGGGAACTGGATGGTGCACAGGATGAAGAGCTCAAACAGCCAAAGAGGGCAAGCAAAGAAAGCAATGGTGAAAAATACAGTCAAGTTAATTGGAAAAATCAAATAAAACAAATAGGAAAATCCAATTACAAAAGAAAAGAATCAAGCCAGGAATACCAAAAAAACAAAGAGCAAACCCGCATCCGCAAGCACTCCTATAGCTCCTGTTTTGGCGGCTCTGTTTTGGCGTCTGGCCGCGCCGTCCATGACGAAGCTGGACGGGTTTACCCCCTTCGGGGCGTTGAAGATCCTTGACGGCACTAGCGGCGATATTCATCTGTTCACATTCAACTTTCAGTTATCACGTGCAGCTATGGGCGTGTCCAACGTCACGATCTGCGATAGCGACAATTCAACTGTGACCTCGATCATGCGCATCTTGAGGTGTCCCAACCACCGCTGTTGGTATGTGATGGCGAACTTTGCTGGTCTAGCCAGCGCTTTCACCGACCCCGGCCGCGTTCAGCTGAGTATCTGCGCTGAGGACGACATGGTCCGTACCACGGCTAACCTGGCACCGTCACATTATCATGCCCTCCACAATGGCCGCTCGAGGACTCCGATCACTGTAGAGTTTGAAAAAGGTGAGGGCAAGCATGTTCCACAGTGAATTCTGCTGCTTCCAAGCCGCGGAGATGGATGCAAGTGAAGTCTCGAGGCAACAAAGGATGCTGACCAGGGGTGTCGGGCACGCCACGGTCTCTACGGTATATAAGCCAAGCCACTCTGTGTCCCAGCATCCCGTGAATCAATAAAATCCACTGATGCGGGCTCTAAATTTCGGGAAATTGCTCATTGGAGCCCCCCCCCCCCCCCGGTGACTGCTTCTGTCACTTTTGTTTGGCCTAGGGTCTCCTGTTTGTACTTTTCGAGCGTGAACGTTGATGCAAGTTTTGACAGGTGCTGTTTCTTTGTGCTCATTGTTCGTGTTTGTGAGAGTACACACTAGTATTGGAAGCCTGGAATAGGGAGTATGGGTCCAGCATCGCCATTGCCAGCATGCTCTGGTGGCCTGCTCTCGCCCATGGCTTGGTGGTGTCTGGCTAAGTGAATTTAACCGGTGTAGCTACTTCAAGCAGTCGAGTTTGTTTTGCTTCAATGTCATGCGTGTGTGTGTATGTGTTTGTGTGTGTGTGTTTGTGTGTGTGTGTGTGTGTGTGTGTGTGTGTGTGTTTGCGTGTGGGTGTTTGTGCGTGTGTGTGTGTTTGTGTGTGCACATGTGTTTGTGTGTGTGTGTGTGTTTGTGTGTGTGTGTGTGTGTGTGTGTGTGTGTGCGCATGTGTGTGTGTGCGTGCGCATGTTCCTGTCTCTTGCAGGCCACTTCTGCCAAACGGGTAATGTCACGTGTCCACCTAATTCACATTGCAAGGGTAACAGTTCCGACTGCCTCTGCAACGCCGGTTTTACACAAGTGGAGGATAAATGCATAGGTAAGGCAGAAAGAGACAGACACACAGAAACACAGATAGACAGACATATAGACAGATAGATAAAGAGTTAATTAAATAGAGAGACAGACAGATAGATAGATAGATAGATAGATAGAGATATAGAGACATAGAGACATATAGAGATAAAGAGATAGATAGACCAGATAGACAGACAGACAGACAGACAGAGAGATAGAGAGATAGTAAGTTTATGAATCACTTAAAAAAATGTCCAACCAACATTAGCTCTATCCGGGGTGCCATGAGATATTTTTTAAATGTTTGGTCGTGAAAACCTGGTCACTTTCCAGACCACCCCCACACACACACACGCACAAACACCCACACGCAAACAACAACATGTTTGTCGAGAAGTGTCTAACCCTGTTTTCGTGATTTCCTTCTTTCTCTCCAGTTTGGTTTGGCGGTGCTGAAGAGCTGCCAGGGCATGACAATTGCAAAGCCAATGAGTACTTCACCGTGCCAAGCGATTACACGATAGCCACCGCCTGGGCAGACTACGCGTATGCAGAACGCGCCTGCTCCGACTTTGGCCTAGTACTGCCGCCAGTGAGCGTGGCAACGCGCTGCTTGCACGACTTTGTCTTCGGCCTGCTGCTGCCCGACTCGAGCCAACGGCACGAGATGGTGTGGGTGCAGCGCGCCGACGGCACACTACTGCAGCGCAGCTCGCGTGGACACACGTACACCGCATCGCGGACCGCCACCGCCAAGCTGGTCTGTTACAGTAAGCGGCGGCGAATTTCCTGTCCCAATTTTCTACTGAATTTCGTTCTGCCGGACCGTATTTAGAATGGCAGTTGTGTGTTGTGTGCTGTTCTACAGGACCTTTACCGTAAAAATCGTTCAAAGGTGCACGTCCGAAATAGACACCCTTCATCTTTTAATCTGTTGCACCCAAGTTCGTCCAGATGAAAATACTACCCGAAGCAAGTATGGGCATGGTTTTTGCGTGCAGAACATGTATATGTGCATGCTATGGCATGCGCTGGAGAAACATTTCGACCGCTATGCCCACGTCGAGATCAAAAGTTGTTTTGTGCCCCTCTCAAAAGTTAGTACGGGTTTAAAGGGGAACTGTCACCAAAAAATTTCTTTGTCTTATCTTGTAGTTCTTTGGCTCCTGATCACGATGGTGTTATCCGTTTTTCTCTGCGATGGCTGGAAGTGGGTGAAAACTTGAAAAGAAGGTGCCCAAAATTGTCCCGAAGTACCGAGTGACGTCACGCCGGACTTGACCTCCACGCGTACATTCATCGTCAAAAACGAAGTCCAGCCCGTGTGCTGGTCGATCGAGCTAGCTGTTCCAATGTACGGTGCACGTGTGCCTTTTGAACTGTAACACAGATGGGTACATCGTACCGAAGGAGAATGCCAAAGATCATGAGGCAGAGCTAGAGACCCACGTGCAGCTACACAGCCAAATCAAAATAAAAAGCTGAGCTACCTGAGCTTTCACCTTTTTGACTTCTTCCGCGAGGATATAAGTTTTATTTTGTGAGCACGGAAGTCCGTCGTTGTTTTGAACTTTTCGTGTGAGGAACAACACGATGATGAGTGCGTATGCAGAAAACAATACTCCTCCGGCCGGCGATAACACCACCAACCCGATCCCCAAAGGAACGCAATGTAGGTACGTGAAGGCGATTCATCTGGCGATGTTGCTGAAGATGCAGATGACAAACTCCGACGTCTTTCATTTCAGAGCCGGGTGGGCAACACCGCCACCTTCGGCTTCGATACAACGACATCATTTTCAAGCACGAGATATGTGTGTCACACTAACAGCAAACAAACATCCTTCCACTCTTTCGTAATCACAAATAATACAAACAGCTGGAGCTTCGTGGAGGAAGTACCAGTGCGACAAACTGCTGTCGACTTTTGTTTATTTTGTCCCTTTTTGGCGTTCTCATTGTGTACAACGTACACATCGAGTGTCCGAGTTCAGAAGGCAAGCGTGCACCGTACATCGAACAGTTGGCTCGATCGACCAGCACACGGGCTGGACTTCGTTTTTGACCATGAATGTACGCGTGGAGGTCAAGTCCGGCGTGACGTCACTCGGTACTTCGGGACAATTTTGGGCACCTTCTTTTTAAGTTTTCACCCACTTCCAGTCATCGCAGAGAAAAACGAATAACACCATCGTGATCAGGAGCCAAAGAACTACAAGATGAGACAAAGAAAATTTTTGGTGACAGTTCCCCTTTAACCACGAAATTCGAAAATAGGTACGTGCCTATTTATGTATAGATTATAACAAGGGACCGAGTGTGTATAGAGATCTATAGTAGTATAGTTACCATATTGTGGTTAAACCCGTACTAACTTTTGCGTGGGGCACAAAACAACTTTTGATCTCGACGTGCGCATAGCGGTCGAAATGTTTCTCCAGCGCATGCCATAGCATGCACATATACATGTTCTGCACGCAAAACCATGCCTATACTTGTTTCGGGTAGTATTTTCATCTGGCCGAACTAGAGATCTATAATAATAATAATAATGATAAAGGGTTTGCTCCCCACACCGGAGCTCGCGCTTTTCCGCCGACTTTACTTGACACTTGACTGACTCACGACTGCCATCCAGAGCACACGAGAAGTCCATCGAACCTTCGACTCGGCAAACCTGCAAGAAAGCACCACTCCCTGCTCAATACACAGTGTTTCGGGGAATTCACCCCTCATCAGTTGAGCTTGAGTAGGCTGAGGAAGATTGTGCCTGAAGAGCACCACTTATATAGTGCTCTCCAGGCACAAACATCACCAGGGATACAAACTTACAGAGACGCTCCGTTTCCAGCGCGACAAACTTCCTCAGCCTACTCAAGCTCAACTGATGAGGGGTGAATTCCCCGAAACACTGTGTATTGAGCAGGGAGTGGTTCTTTCTTGCAGGTTTGCCGAGTCGAAGGTTCGATGGACTTCTCGTGTGCTCTGGATGGCAGTCGTGAGTCAGTCAAGTGTCAAGTAAAGTTGGCGGAAAAGCGCGAGCTCCGGTGTGGGGAGCAAACCCTTTCTTACAAATCATCGCCGAAGTCGCAACCACTACTTCGTACTTAATAATAATAATAACAATATTAACTGGTTTGAGGGAAAGAGACAAACGGGAAAAGTCTGAAGAAAAAATTGACTGCCACCACCAGGACTCGAACCAGGGACCCTCGCTTGTAGCTAGCGATGCTCTAACCACTGAGCTATGGTGTAGTCGTCATCCCAGCAGAGGCCGTTCAACATTTTCTTCAGACTTCGTAACTCACACTTCCTGATAATAACAATAATAATAATACCACAGCACGCATACAAAGGCCAAAGAACAATGCATGAGAATGCGTCCATGGAGCTATGAAGCCGAGACCTCTGGTCGGCGGAGCTTAATGGGCCCCACCACCACACTCCATCATTCACCCCAGTGTCTGGAGATATGTGGATTTTGTAGAAAAAAAAAGAAAAAAAAAAACACTGAAATTAAGCCAAGTCCGCTAATTTCAGTATAAAAACCGAGGCGAAGCCGATGTTTTGTTAACTGGTGTATGTATCTCGATATACACTCGGTCCCTTTGTTATAATATATTTATACATGTACCTCTCCATCTTCACCGTGTGTGGCCTCCTAATGGCTTGTTCCTCGCCGACAACTACTGCTAATTCCCCTTAGTGGTGTATATGGAGATATATAAACCACTAATGGAGGGCATGCCCAAGACTGTGGGTGTATATGGAGTGAGGTATAAGTGGTTTTACGATGGCAGTCATGCACTATGCGTTGCTTTACGGGACCACATGCAGCATGACTGTGATGTCTCTCTCATCGTATATGCACTTGAGTGCGGCACACCTGCTGAAGCGTCACGGCAGGAGCGGAAAGCACCATGGTCCAGGACGTGGCTGGTCCACCTCTCAGGGGGTGCACGATCAGCTGATGACAATATTCTTCTTCCCGCAGTCTTTGTACATACCGTTTGCAAGTGGAACTACATTACGGCTATACCGTATGTCAGCGCTTTCAAAGCCATGGCCTTATGTTCGAAACACTGCTGCTTTCCTAACTTTTTAGATGCAAAAATGACTCACCCGCTACGCCAAGCCATAAAAGTCAAAGCCTACACATAAATTTCACTCTAAATCCCCTTGTTCACCCTTCCTGCTGGGCTGTAAGTTTGTTAGTAGAGTACTTATTTCTTCATTTTTACAAAACACACTTCAGATGTCATCTCATTTATGAAGCCCATGGCTTTATAGCTGAGACTGGTTTTATAATGGAATATACCTCCATGGCTTTAAAGGTGCAGACAAACATGTACTGTAGGTCCTGCTACATCCCAAAATGCATTCATAAGTGTAGTTACTTGAGTATGTGATCGATCACCGCTCGGTAGGGGTGAAACGATTAGTTCGAATATTCGAGTATTCGTTCGAAAATTTCAAACGAGCGAGTATTCGAAATTTTGCACTCGATCGTTTTTTTTTATTTTTTTATTTATTTATTTTTTTTCAGTATTGGCATTGTATTTTTCAAAAACTTTTTGTTGTACCACTGGTCCACGGGTATGCATGCGTTATGCATGGTTTGAGTCAGTATTTTAAGACTTCGACGATGCGATCACCACGGCAAGTAACGTTCTGAGATATGAAAGTACTGATGAAAATCGTTACTTTACACTCTGTACAAGACATTGGCGCCTTTTGTTCTATGTTCACAGATAATTTCTTTCGAATTGGTCGAGAACTCGCAAATCTAGTGCTTTTGAATTTTGATAAAATACTCGAAATAATCGGATACTCGATCGAATATTATGAACGAGTGATCGATTGGTCAAAATAGATACTCGTTTCACCCCTACCGCTCGGTCAAACTTGATCCGAGAGGGCTCCGAGTTGTTCGAACCGACCACTGAGTGCCTCTGCTATCAACTAGATCTTTCAATGCTGAATTTATCAGTGCAATAAAGAATAGAATTGATGCAGACATGGCCAGACAACATCGAGTTTAAAGAATTTTATTATTGTTGAACGAATTAGCCAAAATCGATTTTCGAGTTTCCATTTCGTCAGTTGATAGTAGGGAGGTTTCGCTCTACAGAGTTACGTATGAAAAAAACGTAGGAACTGCACGGAATCCTCATACGTAAAAATCAGCGCTGTTGGGTTTCGCTCTGCGTGATTTCTCCACAACTGCTAAACATGCGTTGTTGCTTTGGAGACGCGTTGGCTGCATGCGCCCACCGCATGCACCATGACCCGAAACGGCGTTTTCCATTATATTTTCCACGTGGTGTACGGTGTGTGTACCTTGTGTTTCGCGCGGCTTGAACATTGCCATGGACAAATGCGGAAATGCGAAAAAAATATTTCAAAAAGTCCTACGGAAGACCCAACGTAGGAAACAGCTTTCCTACGGAAGTCCGTAGAGAGATTTACGTATGAAAGTTGCCCTCGCTCCCCGGCGCGTTCGACATGCGGATTTTCATACGTAATTACGTAGAGTGAAACCTCCCTAGTGTCGGAACTGGGGCGCAAGTCTGGAGTAGAAATATGCCCCTCTCGGGTTCGAGCCACCCTTGTGCAGAACTTTTTCTTCTTCTTTTTCTGGACTGGTTTTGACAAGAATAGCTTGTAAGATTGCCTGGCAAAGTATGTTCTGGTGGCCACAGCATCATGAAACTTGGTAGGTACTTTCCAATCAACTTGAAGACCACCTTTGACTAATGTGAAGTGAATCCATTTAGCAGTTTCAATTTTTTTGATGGCAGTAATATGTGAATTGACCTCAAAATTCACAAATTGATAGCACTGGACAAAGTATGTTCCGGATTGCTGCAGAAGGTCATAACAGACTCTTTCCATTCCTATTATTTTTAAAGCTATCCCTCAGCTGGTCGCAGTGTCCTACAGGATAACTAGGCATTGCATGCATCTAGTACGATACTACTCAAATGTTTAATGTTTTTTTATGAATGAACGCGTTGTTGTGAAGTCTTTTTTCATTGCGACACCTCAAATTCCACTGTACATTAGAAGAATCAATTTGGCAAGTTTTGATAAAAAACATGTCGGGCCATTTTTCATTTATGGTCGACTTTACTTCATAAAAGAGCCAATTTGCGCATTGGGGCCATCTCTGAGTTCATGTTCTGTTGTTGATATTGATGGAAATCCTGCAAAACCTCCCACAGGACACTTCTGTAGAAGACGGACTTTCTACCGTATCATACCGTATGTACCGTATATCGATAGACTTACCATATCATATATATAGTACCGTACGTCGTGTGTACGTTATGTTGGTGCATGGACTTGTTGCTGTGGTGTAAAAAGCAGTCTTCGTCTTGAGTTCGTCATGTCAAGTTGTGTTTCCGTAGTCGTCTTGAAATGAACAGTCTTTCAAATGTAGTTATCGTCGTCCCTTTGTATAAGTGTGGAGATTGCACGGGACT